AGGACAATGACATCACTCACGGTCCATACATGATCTGAGATCCTTTGGAAAAAAAAAATTTGCAATTGATCGTTAAAGATTGAGAAGCTTTTTTGGACTACCTTAACCCATCTTACTGGTAAAAGATTTTGCACATTTGATATATAACTACAAGAACCTCAGACTTCAGAATGAAACAAGGATTATAAAAGAAAAGGATTCTCCTGGGACATATTTGAGCATGTAAACAAACTGAAAATATTGACAGCATGGAATTTCTCAACTATAATTTTCAAAAAGACGGTCTTCAAACTGTTAACCAACTGAACCATATGAAAACCAAATTTTGGAAAAGAATATACGTGCACAAGAAAGGCAAGCGGTTGAAAAATTACCATATGAGCAGGCTCCACAATCTGATACCCAGTTTCATCTCTGAACATGGCAACAAATTCATCTGAAATTCACAATAGCTGAGACACAAATCAGCGCAGCACTTAAAGTCGAATATAATTAAAAACAAAAAACAAAGAAGAAAATTTGGAAAAGAGATAACCTTCATTTCTTACTTAGCATGAGAATGGATTCTTTTCGACGCGAGCCATGGTCGACAATGATGATGCCATCTTGATCACGTCCGCCATCTGGGTAATTTCTAGATCCGCCATTTTCAGTGCTCAGACATGGTCTTCCCCGTTGATGTTTCCTTAATTCGAAGAACTTGGGGAGAACCCATTTGATCCTTGTTCTTTTGCATCAAAAAGCATATCCTCTGTTTCTAATTTTCGTGAATCATTCTGTTTTCCCCAATCTCTACCTCCCTTTTCCATTTTCTCAACAAGACTCCTACGATTTCAAAACCCTAGCCCGCCTTTTCGTACATATATTTCTCCCACTGGTTTCTGGTTTTCGACACCATCGTCAAAAACTAAAGGATTTCGGTTGGGTAGTCTCAGAATTAAATTTGAGGAGTAGATCGGAGTCGGCGTTCGGGCGGGAGCAGAACAAATGAGTAATCAGAATTTGCAGATAGAGGCGTTCAAGCACCGGGTGGTGGTCGATCCAAAATACCTCCGCTTGATGAATACAATAACAGAACCGGTAGATAAGAAAAACCTAATTTAATAAGATTAAACATAAGCAAAATTAAAGAGTTTGAAGGGATCATAGGCAGGAGGAGGTGTACCCAGACAAAGCCAAAAGCAGACAGCGAAACAGTGAAGTAGAAGCCTCTGAAAATCGCGTTTTTATAGGCGGGCTGCAGTGCGTCCTTTTGACGCTACCTCCGCGTGATAAATACGCGATATATGAGGGGTAAAAAAGGAAAACCAAAGATTGGGCTGAAAAAGAAACACGTTTGTTTATACAGGCTAATGACTTTTTGGTGGGTTTTTGTGCCCTCTAGTTTTATTATGTTTAAATAATTATTAATTAAAATAGAAAAATTAATTTAATAAAAATAATTGTCAAAAAAATTATTATTTAAAATAACTAAAAATTCTATATTTGGTAAAATTAATTTTGAAATTTTAGGTATAATTTTTTTATAAAAATTAAAATTATTTTCTAATAATTTATATATTATAATTTTTAGTTTTAAAATTTCTCAAAAATAAATTCTAATTTTAATTATTCTAAAAAAATAATTTTATATTTAATCTCTTTTTCCGTATAATTACTTTTAAAATTCAGAAATTAAAATGGAGATTATTAAATAAATTATTTTTTCAATAAAATATTTATAAAAAAAATTCATCATAATTTTTCAATTATTAAACCTCTTCCTTTATATGTTAAAATAAATAAATCTTAAACACATAATTATCACTTAAATTGTATTATTAAAAATTAATTAAAATTTTTTTACTTATATTAATATATTCTGTTTTTTCAGTTGTTCAAAAAAAAAAAGTATGTAAATATAATTTATCTAACTTTTAATATGAGATAAATATAATGTTGTGCCTCTTTTCTTCACCATGTTCTTAAAATAAACCTTTTCAAGACTCCCACAATTGACAGAACCTTCTATCCCACTCGTTCAATTCCTGTCTTAATTCAAAAAGAAAATAGAAGATTCCCAAAAGCTACATTATAAGCAACCAAAATAAACAAATTGAAAAGAAAAGCTTCTCCCAAGCTTACTATTCTTAACTGCTTACACGCATCCCATACGAGTGCGAACCGTGTGCTAGACATGTGGGGACCGGGGGCCATTCGCGCGGGGACAATGAAGATTGAAATCTGTGCAAGCTGCAGAAACAGATGGATACTTTATAGTTCTTATTTGTGGATTATTGACACAGCTCAAGCACCAAAAGACTCCAGTCACGAACATTGAAGCTAGACACTGCAAGCTTGAATATCTATCCCATTGGCATACATCCAGATTGTGCTGCAAGGCCAGCCAAACCGACACCAACTGCAATAGCGCCTTCGCTCAAAGGGATAATGCAGCAAACCAGAGTGAAGCAAATGCAAACGTGTCAAACTCGAAGAAACATTCAAATCCTGTAATAGTACATTATACTATTAACCTCAAGGATAATAGTTACTTATCTCCGAAATAGAATCATGACCCCTTGAAAGTCCCATTTCATGCTTAAAATAACACAGCAATTGCGTATTAATTTGTATAAGATAAGCAGCGAACTAATGAAGTCTAAATTTTTGGGTTCCAGCACAAATTGCACATTCATCTGCATCACCTTCTATTATATGGTTTATGCAGTGTTTTATCCAGTCATTTCCAACATCCTACAACGCATACCATTCCCATTAAACCTAATTAAAACAAATAACTGCTCCACTTACACAGAACCGTTAAACATAAACTTTCGAAAGTCAGGTTGAAACCCATAAAGAACTGAGGAAACTAATTATCACATTACTAACCCTAGCAACCTAAACCTGGAGAGAGGGAGAAAAGGGAGAAATTATTTACAAATGGATAATTTGTAATTACTGTTAAACAAAAACAACAAAGAAACTTTGAAATGACATACCAAAACATATTAACCGGCAACCCAAAAAAATTTGTGCATCAAAATCCATGCATACTTTTCACGACTTCCAACTACCGTAGCGATTGGAGGATTTACCTTTTCCCAAGAAATTGAAAAACCTCTGCCTACACATAAAAGTATATTTATTTACAATAAACCAATACACTTTCATCCGCAAAACAATGAACTTGAAAACTTTAACTGAGAAAAGAAAGCACATCAAGTTTATTAAATTGGCTTCAAAATTAAGAATAATATTCTTTCTTAACCAAAATGAATAATTTTCATAACTGAGCATTCATGTCTTTCGTCCGTATTAATAAATAATTCAGAAAGCACACTGTTAGATCTATATGAGAAAGGTTGCCAACTCTCCAAGAGAAAGGGTATCATCAGAGTAACTTTTACCTTCAACCAACATATTCAAAAAAATATTTACTATGAATCAAAAGTCTAAAACCACAACTTTTAGAGTTCGGACAACCCGAGGCATTAAAAAAGTTTTAGTTTGCTGCAGAAAATCCAAGGCACATTTATCTTTAACAACACACTTTCAGTTTCTAAAAATTACTTGAGATCCACTTATGTTTTCAACTGGTATACTTTCCATATAGAACACCTGTAAATTTATTTTTAAAGCATAAGGTCAAGAAACTTTAAACAAACATACCGAAGAACAATAACTTTCACTTAAAAGATAAAGGAGCAATTTTTTAGAGATGGAATTATCCAAGGGACCAGTGAAATCTTACATTGCTCCAAAAAATCAAGAGATTAAATGAAATTTACTTTTCTCTGAAAAACTATGAAGCTTTTGCATAGATACCGAGGCACGTTTATCAAAGAATTAGCTAATACAATGTCAGTTTCGAAAGATCAAATTGAGGTACTTATTGATGAACAAAACTGTACCAAGATTATCAATGTGGCTTCAAAATGAAGAGTGGCAACCTTCCTCACATAAAATGACAATTCCCACAAGCGAACGTCAAAGTTTTCTGTCCATTCTAAAAATAGATTGGGAAAGCATATTGTCATGACAAAGCGAAAGGTCCCCTAACTCTCCATAAGAAAGTGCGCCACGAAAGAAACTCTTACTTTCAAACCGACAACCGAAACATATTTACTTTGGATCGAAATTTCATATCATATCTTTTTTGATTTGGTATAACTTGGGGGATCAAAGCATTTTCATTTTGCCACAAAAAATCAAGAATCACATTCTTATACACCAAGAAACATCTCATTTTCTAAAAAATAGATACAACACATTTTTCAGCTTTGAAACAATTACTGGAGTCTCTCTAAGTGTTCCAACTGGTACACTTTTCATACGGAACACCTATTGAAATTATGTTTCGACAAAAGTTAAAAACTTTTAAGTTGATATATAAGAAAATATTTACTTCTAGCTAAAAGATCAAGTCACATTTTTTTAAGAATTGGAACTATTCTAAGGGATAAGATTGCCACAAAAAATTGAGGAACATTTACTTAGGCACCAATAGGAACAATTATTTTTAAAAAACAAATAAAGACACCCTCAATTTAAAAAAAAAAATGAATCGAGCTATTTTACTTTCTGAACTTACATATTTCGACATGAGATGTCTAAGAATATAAAGTAAGTTTGTTTTTAAGGATCGAGAAACTTTTAGCTTTCAAAATGATTATCCAAGCATAGCAATTTTGGGACTGAAAGCTTGTTAATATAGAATTGGAGCTCTTATACTTGGGTCCAAGAATCTCAATTAAAACATTTATTATGAATGCAAGGGCCACAAAAATAATGTTCTCTACCCAAGAGACCTGGATATTCTTGATTCTTTACCAACTATCTTTAATAAATGAAGATTCAAAACACATATCAAGATATATATCTTCATGAGAAAGTGTGACATCAAAATAACTTTTTCTTTTAAACTAATATATCGGGACATATTTTGTTGTTTGCTTACTTTTCAAACCGGGACACCACAAAAAAATATTTTTCAATGAAAAAAGCAAGAAACTTAAAACGATACTAAAAATATTTACTTGTAGCTAGAAGATCCAGCCATATTTTTTTTAAGTTAAAACTACAGATGGACACAAGAAATTCTACTTTCTCAGAAAAAATTGAAAAACTTTTCCTTAACTACGGACAAAAATTTATTTTGAAACATTAAATCAATTTACTCTTACTTTCAATAAAATAAATTACGACACTTTTACCGACAAATGAAAGCAAATCTTGTTACTCGATGTCGCTTCAAAATAAAGAATGACAACCTTTCTCACATAAGATGAATATCCCAATAACAAAAGCATTCATGTTTTGTTTACGTTAATTTGTCAACTCTATGTGAGAAAGCTTGACAACTCTTCAAGAAAAAGTGTATCATCAAAGTAACTTTTTCTTTCAAACTAATATATCGGAACATATTTATTTACTTGCTTATTTTTCAAATCCGGACACCGAAAAAAATTATTTGAAAATGAAAAAAGCAAGAAACTTAAAATGATAACAAAAGAAATATTTACTTGCAGCAAGAAGATCTAACCACATTTTATTTTAAGTTCAAACTACCGGGTGGACACAAAGAATTCTACTTCTCCGAAGAAATCGAAAAAATTTTCCTCAAACATGTAGGGAAATTTATTTTGAAACAATAAATAAATTTTCTTTCACTTTCAATAAAAGAAATTAAGGTACTTTTACCGACGAACAAAAGTAAATCTAGATGCCTAATGTGCCCTTAAATAAAGAACGCCAACCTATCTCACATAAGATAGATATCCCGATAACCAAGCATCCATGTTTTATGTCTGCACTAATTTATCAACTCTATATAAGAAAGTTTGCCGACTCTTCAAGAGAAAGTGTGTCATCGAAGTAACTTTTGCTTTCAAACTAATGTATCGGATCATATTTACTTGCTTGCTCACTTTTCAAACTGGGACATTGTAAAAAATCATTTTTAAACAAAAGAAGCAAAAAACTTAAAACGATATAAAAAAATATTTACTTTGCAATTAGAAGATCTAGCTATTTTTGTTTTAAGTTCAAACTACCAGTGAGACACAAAGAATTCTACTTTCTTCGAAGAAATCAAAAAGCTCTTCCTTAAACACGGACGCAAATTTATTTTCAAACAATAAATCAATTTCCTCTCACTTTCAATAAAATAAATTAAGGCACTTTTACTGACGAACAAAAACAAATCTAGTTACCTAGTATGGTTTAAAAATGAAGAACGCCAGCCATTCTCACATAAGATGAATATCCCGATAACCAAACATTCATATTTAATGTTTGTGCTAATTTGTCAACTCTATATAAGAAAGTTAGCTGACTCTTCAAGACAAAATGTGTCATCAAAGTAACTTTTTCTTTCAAAATAATATATTGAGACATATTTACTTGCTTGCTTACATTCCAAATTGGGACACCGTAAAAATTTATTTTTCAATGAAATGAAAGAAGCATGAAACTTAAGCGATACCAAAAATTTTTTACTTGAAGTCAGAAGATCCAGCCACATTTTTTTTTAAGTTAAAACTACTGGACGGACACAAAGAATTCAATTATCTCCGAAAAAATCGAAAACCATTTTCGTGGGTTCAAAATGAAGAACGATAACCTTTCTCACATAAGATATATATTTCGATAACCAAACATTCATGTTTTATGTCTGCGTTAATTTCTCAACTCTGTGAGAAAGTTTGTCATCTCTTCAAGAAAAAGTGTGACATCAAAGAAATTTTTTCTTTCAAACTAATATAGTGGAACATATTTACTTGCTTGCTCACTTTTCAAACTGGGACATTGTAAAAAATCATTTTTAAACGAAAGAAGCAAGAAACTTAAAAAGATAGAAAAAAATATTTACTTGCAATTAGAAGATCCAGTTGTTTTTGTTTTAAGTTCAAACTATCAGTGAGACACAAGGAATTTTCCTTTCTCTGAAGAAATTGAAAAGTTCGTCCTTAGACACGGACGCAAATTTATTTTCAAACAATAAATCAATTTGCTCTCACTTTTACTAAAATAAATTAAGGCACTTTTACTAACGAACAAAATAAATCTAGTTACGTGATGTGGCTTCAAAATGAAAAACAACACTTTTCACATAAGATGAATATCCCTATAACCAAACATTCATGTTTTAGGTCTACGCTAATTTATCAACACTATATGAGAAAGTTAGCCGACTCTTCAAGATAAAGTGTGTTATCAAAGTAACTTTTTCTTTCAAACTAATATATTGAGACATATTTACTAACTTGTTTACGTTCCAAATTGGGACACCGTAAAAATTTAGTTTTCAATGAAAGAAGCAAGAAACTTAGAGCAACACTAAAAAATATTTACTTGAAGTCAAAAGATCCAATCACATTTTTTTTTAGTTCAAAGTACCGAACGGACACAAAGAATTCAATTGTCTCCGAAAAAATCGAAAACCTTTTCCGTGGGTTCAAAATGAAGAACTACAACTGTTCTCAGATAAGATAAATATCCCGATAACCAAGCATCCATGTTTTACGTCTGCGCTAATTTGCTAACTCTATGTGAGAAAATTTGCCGACTCCTCAAGAGAAAGTGTGTCATCAAAGTAACTTTTTCTTTCAAACTAATGTATAGGATCATATTTACTTGCTTGCTCACTTTTCAAACCGGGACATTGTAAAAAATCATTTTTAAACGAAAGAAGCAAGAAACTTAAAACAATACAAAAAAATATTTACTTGCAATTAGAAAATCCAGCTATTTTTATTTTAAGCTCAAACTACCAGTGAGACACAAGGAATTCTACTTTCTCCGAAGAAATCGAAAAGTTCTTCCTTAAACACGGATACAAATTTATTTTCAAACAATAAATCAATTTCCTCTCACTTTCAATAAAATAAATTAAGGCACTTTTACTGATGAACAAAAACAAATCTAGTTACCTGATGTGGCTTCAAAATGAAGAACGACAACTATTCTCACATAAGATGAATATCTCGATAACAAAACATCCATGTTTTATGTTTGAGCTAATTTGTCAACTCTATGTGATAAAGTTGGACGACTCTTCAAGACAAAGTGTGTCATCAAAGTAACTTTTTCTGTAGCACCCGGAAAGGAGGAGGATTTACTTGA